TGATGTTATTTCCTTCAATATGATTATGTCTCAATTCTTATAAACGGAATCGACATGCAGTAAACTGAAAAATATATTTGTTTTGTATACAAATATTATTAAGCATTAAGACGCGCTTCAATTAAAAATAATTTTCTTTCTTTTATTTAATAAAAAAAATTATAAAAAAATACGCTATAAGAATATTTTTGTTTATATACTGTAAGACCATTTTCTTCAAATTTAAAACTACTAAAAACATTATTAAAAATTAAAAGTACCCGTATCTTATGTACGTGCATAATATAAATATTATCAAATTCAATTTAATAATTGCAAAGAAAGTGCTTTTGTTTTTAAATAAAAGTGTAATAAGAAATGAAATGATGAAAACCGTTCTTTTTATTTTTGCAGGTTTGGCGTACCAGTTGTTCGCGAATGCGATGTATGTTTCTCGAGGTGACGGTAAGTCAAAGAACTCCGGTACGTCATTACACAATATTACTAGTGCAATTTTTTTAAAAGGGCTTTTCAATTTTCTCGCTATGTCGTTTCCAACTTCCACAGCACAGCTATTAAAGCGATATAAGATCGCTATACTGATCAAATAATAGTCACCAATTGATCGTAAATAAAAAACAGTTTGCGGGATGGATATTTATAACTGAGCATATTAGAGAAGAAATTTTGAATACAAACAAGTTAATAATTTAATTCATAAACTGTTTACTTCGTTGCTTTTGCTAACATAATATTCTTATTTTAACTATCTTAACCTTCAATTACATATCTCTTTTAGAATCTTAATTTACGTGTCTGGATTCAAGTCATTCACGGCGTTTTTGATTAGCTCTGTAATTATCATAAATCTCAATAAAAAATATTTTTTTTTTTTAATGAAATACTAGAATGTATAGAATCGAGATAACAAAAACATAAAAAACTTTTGATAATAATTGAAAAATTATGCTAAAAAATATTAAAGAACAATTTATAAAAAGAGTGCATCAGTTTTCTTCAAAAAATCATATCTTTATGATAAAAAAAGACAGATAAAAATAAACAATGTTTTGAAAAGAGAAAAACGTGAACTTTAAGAAAAAAAAACCTTATATTGATTCATTCCAAAAAATATAATTTTTGCATGACTGAAGTGGGGGCATTTTTATAGGGGAGACCAGGGCTGGTTATCATACGGGGTTAATTGTCAAAATGTTTATAATTCAAACAGGACATGGCAGAAAAATCTTTTTTTTTTTGACTGTGAATAGCTGATATAATATCAATATTTGTTGTGTGAATTAGTAGTTTGCACCGCAAGCATTGTATATATTTATAGCGATTTTTGAGAAAATGAAGTTGATGAGTAAATTTTTCTTATTATTTATTTTGTTGTCTAACAAGTTTTTGACATTATTAATCATGATATGCCTGTATTCATAAAAAATGACATATCTTAGAAAATCTTTGCTACAATTAATTAATCATTATTCTGATTAAGTTTATGAATACAATCTCTTTTATTAAAAATGGCTATGTGAGGTAGATTGACCAAAATGAAATGAGATTAGATGACAATTAATTTTAATATCTTTAGAGGACACATTTTTTAGGTAATATATTACAATATATTACAAATATATTACAATATATTTCATATAGATATATATGTTTTTTTATTTTTCATATAGAAAATAATTCTATTTTATTTGTATACTATAATTACTAAAATATTCTATTTTATTTGCATACTATAATTACTATTATTTCTCAAAATATAGAACTGATATTAAAATAAAAATTGTATTTTTTAAATGTGTTGTCTATAACAAATATGCTATATATATATTTCAAAATCAGGCATCCACTTTTTTTTAAAAATCAATAATCAAAAACTGTGACAATCGGCCCCGGTTTCCTCTACATGTTCGGAAAAGTAATATCGAAGGTATGTCGAGTATTATATTTTTCTTAAAAAAAAATTCAATGTAAATATTTTATAAAATATTAAATATTTATATATTGTATAATGATTTCGACATTATTTATTCACGTATTATTTATTCACGTATTATTTATTCACGTTTTATAATTCTAGAAAAATAGAGCGATCATTTCACTAAGACGCCTCTCACACAGAAATGCTTTTTCTCACAAAAACTTTTTTTGAATAAATCGAATATGTTTTAATTATAAGAAGACATGTACTTAAATACACTTAAGCCTATTCTAGAATCTACATTTGTTTCCTATTTCTTGCTTTCTATTATTTTTTACATCTTGTCTTTTTGCTTTTTATCTGGGTTTTTTTTATGTCGCCCGAAATAAAAGTTAACGAACTTCGAAAGAAACAAAAAATAAGTAGCAAGAAATACAATTGTCGATAAAACGCTTGCGAAGGGAGAAAAAACAAGAGGCAAAAAGCAAGAAACAGGAAACAAAGAGCACATTGTAGAATAGGCTTAATAAACAGACACTTATTAAAAACAAATTTCTATTTTTGGTAAAAATCTGTCGAATTTACATTTGATGAGTCCAAGTCAAACTTTTATTGTATCAATTAGCAAAAAAAAAAAAAAATAACAACGAAACAATTACATAGTGATCGACAGAGAAAGAAGTTTCAAGTTTTTTCCCTCACTTCAATTCTGCAATATTAACTATACAAAAATAATGGCAGACTAAAATTTTCACCCGAGTCCAAATGACCCACTCATGTAATTGAGGGTTAAAAGAATTTTAAATGAAATTCATGATTATTCTCAAAGACAATTCAGACTAGAATTGTACAGAGAAGCATCGATTACAATAAAGATTAGAAAACCGTCGCCTTTAAAGATAGAGATTGCACAATCGTGCCCGAGAAAGATCGATATTCGAGATTCAGCCCGTTAACGCTTTCGATTACTAACACTTTCGATAGCTAAATGGCTTGGGAGAGCCAAATGCGGTTCGTCGTTCCCTCCTTCGCTTAAAGCGCGTACCGGTTCGCACTTAAGCTCGTATAATTTTCGCACTAACTAGAGGGAGAAATTACCTCTTCGCGTTGCTCATGCAAATAAATTCGCACGTTCTGGCCACTCCTTTTCCTGCAGCGTTCATTCACTATTCACGATTTCCATCTCTGCCGATCCTAAAATTGTCATCGTGGACGAGAACGTCCGAAAACTACGCCGTTCCAACGTTTCATCTGGTTCTAATTCTAATTTTCGCATCGCGAAAGAAGAATACGTAATGTATACAAAACTGACGTTACAAACTAGTTATCCTTCTTTCTTCATTTTTCGCCTTTTTCGTCGCGCTTCTGATTTTTCGTTGTGAATTTTAGAGAAGACACACACTGGAGGCTTGACGAACGTTCACCAACGTATGCTTTAATCGAGTAGGGAACCAAGGTTAACGCGTAACTCAATTTTACATGCAAAACGTGCATCGATAATTTGCGAACATGCTGCAAGGTTTACGCTTTAGAAAGTTAGTTAAATAGTTTGTTTCCACGCGGCTTTTGGAAAGATTCGAATAAAATTGCTCCTCTAATTCACGAGGGGATATGTACCCGCTTCTGTTAGATTCGAAAAAATATTGCGGGAAAAGTTTTATTTACTCTGAGAATCTCGGAAAATGCTTCGCTTTTCGTTCCCACGTGGAAAAAGGCAACGCGTGCGGGTAGTTGCGTGCTCATAATGGTATCAGAAAACTCTACTTTTGTCAGTTCGCGTAAATTTGTCACGAGGGTGTTAAGAAGAACGCTATCTACGTAGATTGCCTGTGCAGTTGAACATTCCGCGTGATAAACCACACCACAGGGGTGTAATTTACAGGAAGATGAAGTTACCGTCATGGGGGAGCCGATAGTGAACTAGGTTGTTGGCGTGTAGTTTGAGCAATAGTCTATGATAGGAGCGGTCCGAAACAGGACGTGCAACGAGAGCAACCAGGCGACCAAGTTTACGTAGCACCATAATCTCACTTGTTCAACAGATCACCGCTTTCGTGATTGCCTCGTGACTTTAAGCACGTTATCGGTTTCGCGATAACATGAGATCCAAAACAATTTCATTGACATCAAAACATGTAAAACAAAATACTCAAGATGTTAATTTTTTTTCTCCAGCTATTAACTTTTGTGCGCAGAAGAACGGTTTTGCTGAAGTATTTAAAAATTTAGCTAGATATAAATTTGAAAAAATCTTGCATTGTATAGCGTTATTAACTAAATCAACTATCTCGTTTTTGTCAACTAGATGTAGAAATCTTAACCATTGTTTTATTGTAATTATTGAAGAGGATCTTAATCATGGGTTAAAACGTATAATTATTATTAATATATAATAAATAAATTGTAACAATTTCCTGTGTTGAATCTTAAAGTTGATTCTTTTCAATTAAAAAAAGATTTGTGTTGGCTACCAAAATAATTATGTAGGATGCTCATTGCTGGAATATTAAAATTGTTTGCATATCATGTTTGAGTTTTTTACATAAATATTTTGATAAACTAACAAAATTATTCAGCTCAATATTTAGCTAAATTTTTAGATATTTCAGCAAAATTATTCTTTCCATGTGAATATAGCATATCGGCTTTCTTTTTCCAACGTTTCTCTATTGCTTATAATTTTTTTTATTAATAAAGATACATACATTTGATACCATTATATTCCTTAATGTTTGATGATTCGATTCAAAACAATTTTTTTTCATAATATATTTATTTTTATGAAAGATATAAGCAATCAAGTTGGGCTAAGTATATCATACTTAAATATATTGTTCTCATAATGTGACAAAGAACGTTTAAATTTAGCAATTTTAAACAGTCATTTCATTATATTTCGAATAATTGCAGATAATACTACAGAAAATCAGTTTTCTGGCACCGCTAGAATTTAGTTGCTAAAGTTGTCAGCGTTGAGTAATGCGCTCTGTGAAATTCAAATGGAAAATGTACGTCCGGAAGCTAAGCGTTAGAACGTAACATAATTTCATTTTTCATCACAAAAGCGAGCTAAACATCTTACCCGTATTGTTAACCGGATGTCCGCCCCTCACCGGCCAGCCGACGGACGTGCTCGCTTTGGACGAGAAGCTGAAGTAGGCCAGGAACTGGGACCGTGTTGTGTTCTCGTTTATCCTGAAACACACGCATTTCACATGTTAGCGTCCACTTCGTATGCGCACGTAACCGGCACCGGCTTTTATGCGTTGCGCTTGCGACAATAAAAGAAAACGTTAGCGTGATAAATTACTAGGAGTCTACCTACGCTACGTCGCGCGAGCCTGCCGTCCGCCTCGCTATGCGTCGACCTATACTACGATCACGGTATTTACGACAGGATCTTGGTGCGCAGCAGGCAAATTTACGGATTCTTTCAAAGTGATATACAGCAAATAACCTGCAGGGGCCGCGATGTACTCGCGCAATTTATTGCGGTGTTGTTTTTGTCATCATTCCGCATACGGCTCGTAAATCACCGATGCGCTTTTATTGACTAGCCCGCCAATAAAAAGAGCCTTTCAAGCGGGCTTCAAGAAATTCGACGGATATAAAACGAATAATTCGCGATGAATGTGCGGTGACGTAGCCATTTGCCAGCCATTATAAATCAACGATCGCTTATCTGTTTGCGTTATCCGCAATCTGTAAATGATACATTGAGAAAAATTTTTGAGAAAAATTTCTGAAAATAGACAGAAGATTCTTATATCAATCAATTCTGATTATTTCAACTATAATTATAATAGAATTAATAAAAAAATTCTGATTTATCCATTTTCAGCCGGAATTCCAATTAATATAACTGAATTCTTTTTCCAGTGCAGATTTCTTGATATTATTCATAATAGCCCAAAATAATAAAATAAAATAAAAGATAAATATAATAATTGATAAATAAACAGTTTATTTATTAATTATTATCTTTTATTTTCTTTCTACATAACGAAAATTCCGCAAATTTTCTGCTTAATCCTTTTACAATCTGAGTCTTTTTTCAGCACATGCGATATTTTACTTTCAAATTTCTTTGAAATAAAGAAAGGGCAAAGTCCAATTTCCCCTACTAAAATAACCGAGAAACTATTATTTGATAATGTAATAGGAATGTTGAAAAGTATAATTCTGAATTTTTTCACATTTTTTAAAAGTTTAGAATATACTGAGAAAAAAATAACTTAAATTTAAATAAATATTTATTTGACTGCCACAACTAAACATTTACTTACAATAAATGAATATTTGCTTAATAAAAAGAAGTAATTGTTAAATCAAATAAATGTTTTTTGTACAAAATATATACATATTTATATTTAATAAATATTTAGTTGGTACTATTCAAATATTTATTTGAAATTAGGATATTTTTTCTCAATATAGTAAAACAACTTGGACTGGATAAAAAAGATTAGAGAGAAGAAGTAAAAATATATATAATTGCAGATGGAAGATTATTTAATTTTGATTGTACCAAAAAATTCTATCGTCATTTAATTAATCTCCGAAATGATGGGGAACATATATGAGAGATGTTATAAACTTAGAACAAGTCTGTATTTGATATGCGTGTCAATATGTCATTGCACAAAATGCGAATTCCTCACGAGAAACTCGGACAAACGAAAGTTTCGTTATCATGAGCGGTTGTAAGCTCGGAAACTTTCTGGAACGAAGAGAGAAGTTGTATATATTTTCAACGCGAGGAGTCGCGTTCTCAAAGAAAGCGCGATGTTTCGTCGAGATTGATCAGACGTCGATCGGGAATCGAAGGGATCGTTTGTCGTGCTCGAAAGTTGTTTAGAAAGCAGACAGAGTGTAGTGTTTCGTCGAATCGCTGAGTATCGATATCCCAACTTCGTCACGAAGAAACTTCGCACTTTGTGAGAAACATCGTGCATACGAATTTGTCAGCAGACAAAGCAATACTTATTCTCGTCGAGGAGGATTATGGAAAAGCGATATTCTTTTATTTCTTCATAGGAATGAGTAATCCAAGTTAAAAGTTTTAAAAATTTAATCAATATATACGAAATTATATACGCAAACTCAATTGTCAAATATTAAAGCATGAGACAAATTTTAAATAAAACAATAATTTCTTTTATACTTTTCTGATAGATAAAAAATAATTTTACACTAAAAACATATTATTTTGAGTGTAAAATAATATAGAATTATAAATAATAATCATATATTGCGACAAATCTAGTAGTAGAAGTAACTGCATGCGCGACACGTAATACTCAAGAATCAAGAATATCCTGAGAACATCCTGAGCAGTATAATAGTAAATACACTTATATATCTATATTTTAAAGAGAAGATGTTATAGTTAAAGTACATATTTGCAAATTTTGATAACAAGTTCCGAGTAAATAATTCGACAATTAATTTTTCAAGGATAAATCAATTGTTTTTACCATTTTTGTAAATACATATAATTTCATATAATAAATTAGAGTTTCATTCCAATATCTTAACATTTTAATTATCCTAAAGTGTAATAAAACAAGTGATAAAACTCAACATATTTTTTAATGTATCTTTTTGCCTATACATGTTTAGCGATAAGTAAATTTATATTAGCAATTTACGGTATCTCGCAGGTGCTCTTAAAGATCTCTTACGTTTATCGATATCCTCTAATTTCCCATTCAAACTTCGACTGCGAAGATCGTGTCGACGAACAACCGTTGCAATACCTGAGAAATCGGATCCATCGCTAAGCCACAGTTAATTTACTGTCCTCGGACCAATTCTGCGAATACGGTCAGGGGATCGTGTCGAATGTAAGTTAGAAGCGGATGAGGAGAAGACGAGAAATGGACTTGGTAGCACAGAGGGGGAGGGAGAATGCTATCGCGGTAGAAGGCGCCTCTAATTCGATTATTTAGTTAGGTCAGGTTCGCTGTAGTTGGGTTAGCGTCAGCTGGGGCCAAAGGTTACTCGAAGGCACTCGTAACTCCTAATTGTATTTACTTACAATAAATCTTCTACCCTCGTCTATGTATTTGATTAGCGGCCAATCTAGCAGCTACCCCTTCACGATACGTTCCGAAACTTGCGACGTTTCTAAGTGCCAATAATATCACTGACATTTATGATAATTTTCTGATTAATTGACTTTCGAACTTATATAATTTTATATAATTTTGTATAACTCATTAGACGTCGCTTGGCCTATGTACGATTTATAATGATCTTTTTGCCATTAATGTCTACTATTAACAATGTGTGCAATTACTGTATGTCGATTATTAATTTTTCCCGTGTAATTAACTAGAAGTACCTACCGAACGATTACGTTTTTATTTTTTATATTAATATTTTATTTCTTTAATAAATTGTATAAAAAATGGAGTTAAATTTTTTTTTTATTTTTCAATAATTATCCTTTATATTAATAAAATATTTAGTTTTTTATCACTTTCTTTATTTTCATAGTAATATTCACTTGATCTTTTTAAAGAATAAAAAACATTGTTACTTCTAATATTAAGAGATATATGATTTATTATAATAAATATTATAATAAATAATATAATAAAGAGCGCTATAAACTTACGAATTCTATATTTATAAATTAAATCTAGATATCTCAATGTAAATGTAATATATATATTCTTAATATATTTTTTGTGTTACAAGGCATGCAGGGAGATTCTGTAAAATATTATATTGATCGCGGTAGAACGTCTCTCAAAGAAAGCCGAGGTTAAGCAAATCCTTGAGACGATGAAAGAAGACGGCGGTGGTAATCCCTGCGGGGTTTACAAAGATTAGGATGCAAATTTTGGAAAGCATTAGACGAAAGCGTCGACGGCGTTCCTCGTGAGGGCGAAATCCTTTTCGGCATCTATCGAGACGTTAAACCGATTCAGTATGCCATTAAAGCAGGTTATTCCCGTAGACGGGCCGAATCGATAGCCACGTTATGGCGAAACCGCGCGTAAATTTCTACGCAGATGCCAGCGAGAACCGTGAGATGAGACTTGTAAAGTTCCATGAAGTGAGCGAACCTTCGAGGATTTCATAAGCATAGAATTTGTTCGCGACTCGAAGAAAATTTCCGTCCTGCCGGAATACGCTAGAATTTTATCCGCAAGAGATTTTAATTGTGGACGATAAACTACGAGTTACATTATGAGATGGATATTTTAAAGAAATATCTCACAATAAAAATCCCAAGTTACTTTTTAGTTAAAAGTATGAGATTACATAATTTTTACAGCATTGAGCATAATAGTTTGAAAACTATTAAAATTCAATTTAAGCGATCATCGCGTACTTTTAATTCCATTGTAATTTTATGATGTTTTCGTACTAAGTTTATTTAAGCGTCAGTGTATTTACCGAGAATCTTCTTTCTGTTATTGCAAAGATCTTACATTTCAAAAGATCTCGTGAAGTACGAGAAAAACTTCTCGATGATAGTACAAAAATTATAATGCAAATTTTTACTGCTCAATGCTGATTCCTGTTAAAGCCAAAGAACATTCTACAATTCTTTATACGATCTATATTCTATCAAACATTAATTTTTATGAATGAGAATAAAATGAATAAAGTAAAATCCGCGTTGTTCAAAATTTATACGTTGGATTTTCGGTTGGATTATTGCGAAACATATTATGTTTCTAGAAAATATTTGTAAAGTTTACGGAAATACGTGCATTTATTCTTTTATATTTAATGAAGCTTAGATGCAAACTTCTGTCTGCAACAAAAACGTTGGAAACGAAGCCACTGAGCTCTTAACTACATACAGGGAAAGAAATAGAAGACGTTTTATTCCTGAAGAGAATGAAAAATATATAAATATAGTACACTCGAATGAGAGAGATGTACTTTTCTTCCGTATGTATTAATCAATCGTTCATATCTAATGTACAATAATAATAAGAAAAGCAAAAAAACCGTTTGCACATGCTTATTTGTTACAACATACATACACTAAGAAGTTTTTTTTTAGTTGCTTGTAGAAAAGTATAAAAACAGTGTTTTCTCCCAAATAGGAAGTACAATGCTAAAAAATAAGAGTACTCTCAAATTATGCCTCAATAAATATAGTCATTTTATCAATCAATGGAACGTCTTTGTCTCTGGACAAAAGTTCGGTAAATCAATTTTTCAATTCT